GCTAATCTCATAATGAAGGGCCTTATGGAGTTTTCTGGTTTATATAGTGTCAACCAGCACCTAATCCGGCTTTTTCAACCCGTTTCGGTAACTTACTATTCTTGTTATGGATGAAAGAGACTAGATACATGTTAATTATACAGGCCTTGGTATTGGCACAGTGTTGTTCGTATTTACTTCCAATGGTCTGTTCAGGTAATACTGAATTTAACTCTGCCGCGTGGACCTATATTTCAGGGCCCGTGAAGACCAACTCAATGGTTGCCAGTCTAGTGGGCCTTTTTCTTCCAATTTTGCATTCACTTTCAATATCGATCACTATTCCATCCTATATATACCGTGTCAGTAGTTGATATCCGACTTTCTTCTTGCCGAACAACTTTCGCCTGCTCTTCATCACACCATGTAGTCTCAATATAGCCCTGAATACAATTTTTCGGCATGGGCATCGCCACGCTGTTTTCTAGAGATATCTCGGAAACAATGATATTTCCATATCCAGGATAAATGAATGCAGACCATGGATTATGATGTTGGTACAGTAACCTAACGGATATATGAGGTGTCGAAATAGGGCAGTATGCCGAAACGTCAGATAGATACCCTGACCATCGTTGCAGGTACGTACGTTCAATGATTCTATTGTCGTATACTAATGGATCATGGATAATGATATCCCTCTCTAATGCAGTGTTACATTCTTCAAAATCAATATTACAGGTTGATCTGAGGTGACTGCGCGGATAAAAAATCACACAGCGGTAGTAGAATTTTGTCGCTCAAATGCCACAGGGACTAACCCAGAATGTCAACTTTTGAAAACACGCATAATTCAGAGCTATGTTATTGACTAGCTTACTTAGATTGATTTGCTTTCACTATATTGCGAGAGGACTATGTCTGAAGTTCGGTCTTGGGTAATTCGTTGACCAGCTTTCGTCCACCAAGTTTACGACCAATTGTCAGGGGATGTTACTATAAATACTGTATTTGAATTCGGTTTTACGAGAATACGTCAACTTCGGGAGTCCAAATTTGACTTCGTCAATACTGGGCCCTTTAACTTCATGTTTTCCTGGAGATACCTGACCCTCGGCGCTCGTACTCACTATATCCACCGGGCCGAGTCAAATGGTTGTGTTCGGACGCATTATAAGCGATGATTCAGCCACGAACCAAAGGCTTGCTTACTCACTCTTGTCAAATATATGATCGCTTGACTTGGTGCCGGCATTGACGCTTATATTCCTCTTCGCCAGAGCTTTGGTTTTGCTCTCCTCCTACAGTAAAAATGGCTGAGCTTCTTCAATGTGTAGACGCTCAAAATGGAAATTAATCGCCTTTTGTGACGATCCCATGAGTGCTCATTCGTCACGGTTGCCCCGCTCGTTACGGCCTATATTTAGATATACTTTGAGGACAGCTCCGGGCTTTCTAATTTTTGTCAACTGACTTCTCGTAACGCTAATGACTTTGCACAGCGAAAGGGTTTTCAACGAGCAGTTGTCTATAATTTTATCTCTATACTAAGTGAATAAATTTCATTTTCGAAGAATAGGTGGTTGTGATCTATGTTGGGTTTTACCGAGCTGTGGGTGTTTGGTTCCATGGTATCGTGCGGCGGGACGCGGTTGCAGTGGGATTGACATCAAGTGAGACCAATTTGAAGGTAGAAAGAGTGGTATGATGTTATTTTGGCCAGTATTCGATCAAATTGAGGTGTAAGATGGCTCTCGTGCCCGTCAAGGATCAACAGCCGAAATCGCCCTCGTACACGCAAATTATTATATGGAATAAAGATCTTTTGGAGCCAGCGAAGGCCAATTTCATCCGTACTCCAGCCATTCATTATTTGATACTTCGATACAATTCGATTCGCCAATTGCTAGGGAGATCTGATTCAAACCAACTAGCAACAGAAACCTGGCCCTTCAACATGATTCTGTAGCGAATAGCCGCCAGCGCAAATTGTTTTGATCGTAGTAATCCATTCGAAATTCGTGATAGATGTCTCTCGGCACACCGTCTTGTTTCGGCACCTGACGTAGATGTTACAACCCAGAAACTATCTCCTGTGGGGCATTTGACTTAAGTATCACCGGAAGATAGATTGCAATCTCAGAGGAAAGGCAAGAGGCTATGAATACGAAGACCATGGGGGAAATCCGGTTGATTGGATATTCACTTTTGGTTATAATATTAGTCTCGGATCAATACTACTTCTGTGACAACGCAGTTGAGCGAGTTAAAAATGGTGCTCCTATCTTATTGTACAGTAAAACCCGTGATGTCTTAAGAACACACAATTCGTTCACGCTATATGATGATTGATAATTGCGGTACTGATTAACAATCTTCTTCCTCACAAGCTAGTCGCTAGTATCTAAACGCCCGCGAGCTCACTCTTCGGAAAGCATTTTGATTGAAAATGCTGCTAACTTACCCAAGCAGAGACTTTCTATTTTGGATTCACGTTCGACAATTGCCTGGAGCTAAATTTAGATCTCAGTGACTAGAATTGGAGACACGATCCCCGTCGCCACAAATCCCTCCCTATATCTTAAAGAGAACAATAATTGTCTGCAACACTGCACAGAACAGTATAGCATAACCCAGAAATGTCTGCAGCTTTGAAAGCCTCCCAGGGCCCTCTAAAAACATCACCGCGACGTCCAACATTCCAGTTTTTCCCTCTACCTCCACCTGTATTGGCTCAGAAACGACGATGCGATGTTGACACAACTCAATCAGAGCCAAAAAGATTCAAACCAAATCGTTATCCTCCCCAATCGGAGATGATGGCAATGAACAACGGATTTGAGATCAGGCTCAAGAGGATGGAATCCGGGCTTGAGAGGATGGAATCCGGGCTTGAGAGGATGGAATCCGTGCTTGGTTTAAATAGCGACACAGACAACAATATACAGAAATTGCAGCATGCAATTCAAGACGCAATCAGTATGCTAACGGTCATGTGTGTACATCCTATGTGCTTAGAGAAGTCCAGCTCTCAGTGCTAATTTTGAGTAGGTGCAAACAGGTGCGGTCGCTCGCAGAAGATCATAACCGCACAGAGCCAGCGGAATCACAATCAGGTCCTTTGATCGGCGGGTTCGACGATTTCTTGGATTACAATCAGCTTCAGTCGGAAGACAACTTTTTTCAATGCCTTGAAGCATCGATCTAATGCCTTTCTAGTGGCTAATAAAGGGGGCTCTTTCATAGTATCCACTTGAAATTGCAGATGGAGTCAGAGCACTCTTTACTGGTTATCCGGTCCTGGCAACCTGAAGAACAGTACATTTAAATCCTGAATGCGCCATATCGTAACGGTGCATTTTATTAGGTACTAAGCAATGGCCAATACCCTTGTCCTAACCTGCCTCGATGTCGGGAACGTAGACGTGAAGATCGCCTACGAGTTAAAGGTCTCTATATATGATGTTGCGAGTAACAGAGCCATGCCTCTTACTAGAAAATGTCCTAATTCTGTCTTTTTTTCCTTCCCTGCTCCATGATTACCGAAATACAGCCCAGAAATACGTAAATCCGGAACACTCTGCACTGCCTCGCAGACCGCGGTTGATGCTGGATCAACAGAAAGCGATATTTTACAACTGTCATGCTTGAGGTCGCAAACTCTAAGGCCTCAACTGAGTGTTTTACTGGCTGATCATCACCTGGGGCCTCATTTAACACGTTGGTATAGTAATACATCTGATCGGCATTGAGAAAATGAAAAGTCATTCGAACCGCGGGAAGGATGACGATGAGAAGGAAGTTCGCTGATCATGGCGGTTAGCATCCGAACAGGGGCGTGCTGCTCTCAACCTCACCAAGAAGATATTTATCAGACCACCCGGGTCTGACCCTGTGAAGCCAGTGTCGTCTACCTAGGACAACAATAACTGTTCTGGCTGTAGGTTGCACCTGCGCTTGAGTAAGACCTATATCATGCTCGTTTATAAAATTTCGATTGTAAGAGTGACTCCAAGTAGAGACAAGTGGCATAATCTTATGAGCGTTTGAGAAAATGAAGTTGGGGAGGTCGTGGAGCCGAAGCTTGTCGTAGCAACGAACGTACTACATGGATACCACGTGGCTTAGGTAACACTGAACGGTTGTTATAGATGTGAACCTCCCCAAGATGTACGTGCGGCTTGATAGCTTCCCCCTTCACCTTGCCAAATTATTATATGACAGCGAGTCAAATACCCAACTCTCTCCGCAGGTTTCTCTATATCGGCTATTGAAACACGGTCCCTACTCCGTCTAGCTGTCACGTTAGGCATACAATACCTCACCGACTCCGGAGATACTATCTGGAATATCACGCCTTTTGAAACCTAGATGTCTGCAGGTTTGCATCCCACTTCTGATACACAATGATGGCTCCCAGCGAGAGGTCAGTTGTAGATCGTGCCCTCGGGGTTCCCTGAACTGAGCCATTATCTTTTACTAGCTTCGTATTGTTCATTCGACTTTCCAGAGCTTGCCGTCACTCCCAGGAACACCAACAGCCCTACTTCACTAGGAAGCATCATCAATACTACGAGCAAGGAAAGGAAGCAATCGACCTTTGCTACAATGGGGTACCGCCTCCCAGCATGGTAGTTTACTCAACCTGAGAGGTTTCTTGTGATTAGTGCCATGCAAAGGGATAAGTTCCATTATAGAGTACGCCGAAGCATACCACGAATCAGACCCAGCTGCATATCGTAGTGCTGACTTGAATCTTTCAGAAATGTGCAGCCAACACCGAAGACAGAGAGGCTGGCGAGCCACTGACCAGTCTGACAAGTGAATATGGTATTTGCAGAGAATGGAAGGATTCAAGGTGCCACTTCATAGACCTAGCTGTGCGATTTGAGAAAACGAATCAAGATACGCGTTTTGTCACGATAAGGTAATGTTACATAAGACACAGCCCCCAGCCGTAATCAATGGAATCAAGTTCTGTCGACTGGCCGAACCCGAACAACTTATTCGCGATGAACAAATTATACCGAAAGGTTTGTCCCTCTGTGGCCCGCTAGCCGTGGCAAGTCGTTGATGATCTGATTGATTACATCCTCGGATGGGGGTGGTATGTACCGAATTGGGTAGCGACTTCCGGGAGAGGCGTTTCGGTGTTGGAGAGAAGAAGAAGCAGTATGGTCCGGTCGGCTAGGCCCACGCACCGATGGAAGATCATCGGGGAGATAAGGCGGATGGCGAGGACTGCCTGAGTCAAGGCTGCCTGAGTCAGGGCTGCCTGAATTAGGGCTGCCTGAATCAGGACTGCCAGAACTGCGAGAAGGTTCGGTCGAGGTATTTAGCGTAGGCAAGATTGCTATGCTCGATGAACGTAGATTCGGGTGTCTTGTGTCCAGCCTATCATCCACGTTGGCAGCACCTGCGCCACGTTTCACGCGGCGGCGAAGTTGACCTTGTTGATTCAAATACTCCGATCGTGGTACCAAAGGCAGAGGCGTGTAGTACACGTCGTGGAGAAGACAGCGCTCGCCATCTAGCATAACGGCAAAAACTCCCCGCAGTAATTGCCGGTCATTCTGGAGGGTAAGCTCAAACTCAAATTCGCGTTCCTTCGTTTCAGTTCCAAGCGGAAACAGTTTTTCGTGCGGGATTTCCCCTGAAAAGGTACCTAGGTGAGATAGATACGAAAAGATTTCTTCAGTTGCTGGATAAGTGATGTCACATTCCCACTCAATTAGATCGTTTCTTTTGATATGCTCCTCGCCGAATTGTCTTGAGTCTGGCGGAGTCACATGCATTTTAGATTCAATGATCAGGTCGCCGGCTTCCTTTGAGCGTGGCTGGATTTTCTTCGTGAATTTTAGGCAGCCGGGGCCCTCTTTTGGATCTTGCCCCTATAAAGTTGCCTTTGTTAGCGGGGATTGGAGAAAGCGCGGAAGGACAGAGTAGAGGCAAAGCGGGCCATACCTCACGAAGAATCCAACCTATACCTGTCAGCCACTCTCCCTTTTTGAGAGGGCTTCCGTTTTCATCGTAGTCGCCGACGTAGCCGAGTCCCAAATTGCGCGTTATCACAAGTTCTTCCTCAACATCAAGACGAGCGTATTGCAATGCCCCAAGTGCTACAATTCCATGACTGCGAGCATTGAGCGGTTAGTATTGTGGCTTTGGTGATTAGAGCTTGTCTAACTGACACGTCAATTTTTTCGCAAGTGGTGATCCCGTGCTCCTTGAGTCGCCTGAATAGTTCAGTTCTAAACCACTTATTTCTCACAGTGCCACCACACACGACCGCAATATTTACGGGATGCCCGGCTTTCCTCGCGCGGTCACACATGCGTATCACTAAATCCTCCGCTCCGGAGATCAAAGGCAGAAAGAATCCTTGCATCACATCACTATGCCGTCAACGCGGGCGATTAGCTTTTGCTTCACATCCAGTCAGGGAGTACCGAAGATAGGCACGAACGGAGGAATCTCAACAGAGCCATCCCCGCGAAATAGCTCATGGGTGGACTGGCCATCAAAGGCCCGTTTGCATTGATCGAAAAAGGGCGATATGTACGTAGCCCAGTGATCATCATCCCACAATGATTTCCAGTCTGGGAAATTCGCTTGAAGCCAGCTGCGACATAATTCGTTGACCATTTGCCCTCCTTTTGGGAGGCCTAGTGACTGTTAGCAAGTCGCTCCGAGATCGCGGAAGGCGAAACAGACCGTCGGTCGCACAAGCCTGAACCAACTGGCCATCGTCGTTCTTGTATATAATCGTGGCATCCTGCGAATAATTAGGCGATAATCTACAGTAGTGGTCGGGCAGCGGCACTCTACCAACGTTGCTCCGCCGAAGTCAAGAATCAGTCTTGCGCCGTCGGGCAGGGGGGATTGTGCTTAGAAAGATTGTGCTTTTTTTCTAAGAAGCAGGCCGCCGATAGAGACTCCGAAACAGACCCCATGACAACAATCCCGGCAGCAATGGCTTCTTGAAGAAGCAGGATCCGTATTGATTCACCGCAGCTGACTGGATACGTAAGCCAGGCTTTGATCGGACCGAAAGATTCACCATACTCGTTGCGAAGGTGGTCCTTGGCGGTCTTCAAAATGTGCTCAAAAAGAATACGGAAGAGGGATGCGGGAGTGAAGTGCCCGTGTTCTAGGCCTAGGCATTGCTGAACGCCCCGACAGGATTCGATCAGGTTTTCGTCATATGGTTTCACTCCCATCGTACCTAACTTCCAGTGCCTGAACATTTCCCGGTTGGCGTACGACGCCCCGTCGGAACCAAACGAGAATTTTTTGGCATCTTTCGTAAAGACGATAGTGGTATCTAACTCGGTGGTGTAATTTTCCACCTGAGTGGACGCGCTAGACGGGAATTTCAAGAGGTAATCGGCGGTTCCAGCAGGGTTAGTCGGGTCCACGGAGACAGCAACTTCAGTGGTATTGGTCCCGAAGTCAATGGCAAGCCAAATCTCCCTAGGAACCTCTCGATGCTGTGTTTGCTCCATGGTAGTGCGAGGGGGCCTCGAGCGCAGGCTGTGGTTGCCTGATAAGCGACGCGTTAACAACGTGATCTCCAAAAAGGAATCGCGACATCTGGGTCCCGTACCGTCCTGTCTCACGTGATGCGACTCTCCTTTATCTGGCGGGATATCCCGGTAGAGCTCATTTTAACCTAAAGACCCTGACCCTAACATGTCACATTCCTTCTTGTTGACATCTAAAACCTCAATCATCTCCCGCCATGCTTCCCGGTCCATCATTGTTAAGCTCTTGATCTTGTGGGCATGTATGGCAGGTAATTATGAGAAGGCGTTGGAGAGGTTCACCGCCTGCATTCTGTAAAGTATCCTGCTAGGCATTCTGCCAGCAGTTCTACCACTAAGAGCAGTAGTATTTTAATTTAGGGTTCACACCTAGTCAGCAAGGTGCATATGTGGTGAGAAAGTACGAGGACCCAGAGACAGACTTTAATAGACGCTTCATCTCGCTGAATGGAGTCGTGGGGCGGTCAATACTGTTCCTAGAGGCGGTAGACATGCAAAAAACCCATCCGCCCTATTATCTGCCCGCGATCGTGGAAGAATTGAAATCCGTTTCTCACTACATTATCGTTTCTGTGTAATTGCATTCCTCTATCGGGTTGTCTCGGCAGGAACTCGATTCAGCATCTGTAATTGTAAGCCATTTGCCGTGTCTGTACTCCGTCCTGTGACCAGACTGATCTCGTCATCATGCACCTCCTCAATAACACCATTCGCTATTCAGCCCGACTCCCCATGAAATGACTACCACCGTGGGCTGGTAATAGGCCCCGCATCACGCGTTCTACACTCGAATGCAATTATAGCAGTCTACACACGTTTACTAGGTGACATATTGAAATGTGGCAAGATTCGTATCCTCATGTAATACACACACATTGTGCCCTGCCCAATGTGCACTACGTAATACTTTAAGGGGCTGTACCTGGATAAATTTAGTTGTACTAGGCCAACGTGCTGTTTATGACAATCTTGCTTGAGGGCGTAGTTAACGTAACTAACTGATTGTGGAGCATCTCTCCCTTAGTAATATAATTATTCAAGCAGATAGCTCGGGCTGGAAGTTTCGGGACCTTGATTGTTGGTAACATACCAGTTTTGGATGAATTGGTTCCAAGTGACACAAAAAACTTCAAGCGTTTTGAACCGTATAAAATACAACCTGGCTTCGATGTGGGACATTCCATTTGAAGAAGTACAAACTAACGGTAGAGAGGATAGTGAAAGATCACGCGTCGTCAGTATCATTTTTCGACTCTGCCATACGGTATGCTCCTTCAAGGCAAGGGTGGCGGCGAGGCGCAGGGGACGCTCTCGCTGGAATCTTCGCCTGCTGTCGCCGATCGACTGTATGAGGAGGAAGGCATAAACATTGGTCGGGAGGGCCTACTGAGCAGGCGCCCTCTAAGGTCGCTCGTCCCCGCTCTGCTCTCATTCGCTGTTACATCTCTGATTCCGTTTGAGCTCTGGACCACGGGCGGCCCCGGAGAACAGAAGCTGCCCTCCCCTTTCCCCACCTGGAGTGCCGTCCTCTGATCCGATCGGATACGGTTCTGTGAATTCTGCTTGCGCTCTATGTACAAGCGGGAGATTGGGGAAATTGGACAACTATCAGCAGGACATTTATCTAGCGAACTTCTTGGAAAGTCGGTGTTCCATAGGGTTGCAAGACAACTCGGCAAATTCTGCCATGTTGAATTTGGCCGGAATGCCTCCATTAAAACTAGCGGGGCCTTGGCGACCACGCGCGTACGAAAGCGCTCGGGCCGTTGGCACAAGAAAACTTGCCCCATCAGTGATCGCCATGCTTGGTCCCTCAAAGGCTGGGCAGTCCCTTGAATGCATAGCCGATGTTTGCTCACTGACAACCGGGATCTTTACAGGCAACTGTCGGCTTATAACTGCGTGAAGCCAGGGTGGCTGGATATGTTCCATCCTAACGTTTGTTGCTTCCTCCGCTCCACGATGCACCTACTTCCTCGCAGCTGTACCCTCCTCAGACACGCGCGATTGGATCGAGGCCCCGTTTTACGCTAAACCTCAGCTCGACCCACTCAAGACTCTTGTCGTACTCTTCTCAAAAAAAATTGAGCGGGTCGGAACCATAAAACCATTTGTTAAGCAAGCTGATCAGGAAAATTAGAAGAAGAGAGGAAACCATCCGAATTAAGGGATTGAAAATGGATTGATCTAGCCACGACGGAAACCGAAAGGGATGGGCGGTACATATCCCATGGGAAGAAGAGCCCATACAGCCAGCACACCGCTTTCGTGTGAGTCACGAGACAACCAAAACCCAGACCACTCCCGACGGCGGCAAGAGGGCGTTGCATAATACAATGCCAAACGCGCGCAAAACGGGCAACTGTTCAGTTGTCGTGGTCGGTTTGGCGACGGGAAGGCATCATCGCCTCGGGGAAGCGGAGGGGCGGTTACCAAACGGTGTCTCGGGTGCTCTCAGTTTCATTTCCTCTACCTCTAAGCGGGCTTGTCTGCTCACGTAAGTGACTGTATTGCGTAAAATCCGAGGTTAAGCTGGAGAACATGCTGTGGGTATCTGCGATCATCCGAACGTTGGAGGTCCGCTAACGCAGAACCGGTCGCGCTTCACACATTTGAGTGTGCACCTTCACATCCACATTTTCTAGTGCAGCTTCCCACCTATCCGCCTCTACGTACTCCGTACTGATATCTGCTTCACTATCCTTTATCCAGTGCAGTCTATTTTAGGTGTGGCGGTCGAAGAACATGACGCGCAGTGTATGCAGTCGCGGACCCTAACGTGTCGTACTTCTGTTTAAAAAGTCCCAGCATGCACTCTGGAGGTGGATAATGATCCGTGTGCTTATTGGATCAAAGCGTGGCCCGCTTCCAGCCATTAGTGTGCATTGTGGTTGTGAAAGGTAACGGCGTTCAAGCTGCCTCGGTCCTCTAACGATACCTAAAGGTATCACGAGGGGTGATTTCATCCCACAGTGTGAATTTGTTCACCAGCTTTATTGCATCTGTTGACACTTCAATGGAACTCCAGCAGTCCTGCCGACGATAGTGAAGGGTACCCAAGGAAGCGTCGTTAGCGTGGAGTAACTCCGTGAATCCGACCCCTGTCTTGAAGCTAATGCACGAGGGCACGCTTGAGCACCTATTGAATGAGCCGACCGTACAATTTAGGGAAAATTTCCTTTTTTTCGGAACGGAAATTAGGCTTTGAGTTGTCATTATAAAGAGTATACAGTAAGGATTCTGTATTTCTTTGTTCTTTTGCACTATCCTTGTTTTTCTTTAATACCTCATAATGCTCGAAACACGGCAGGCAGGCAGGCTCGTTGCGAGAATGCTGATGAGGTAGAATGTATTCTCATGGGTCACACCGGCAACAACCAACTCCACCACCATATCCCCGGAGTCCACCGTGACTGGCCCATAGACACCGGGCGGCCATTCAGCACGTTCTACTCTATCCAGAACATGCAGAACATGCAGAACCTGTTAGATCAGGATTTCGATTTTATTCAGCGTCGCAGGAGTCCGACCTCACAGTATCAGACCTTGAGGAAGACTATTATCAGGCCTATGTACAGCACTTTCATGCAAGCAGATATCCTCTGGAGCCAGCTGTTTACATGGAAGCTGGCAAGCCTGGCATTGAAACGCCCGTTTTATGCAGAAAACGTGATGGACGGCGATAGCAGAGCGAGCATCCTCTACTATTTCTCTGAAATTCTCCAGCTGCAATTTCCAATACCCGGCCTATTGATAGTACCTATTATTATATTACAAAACGGGGGATGATTTGATCCTATGCACGGAGGGGCAAAAATCGACAAGGACAGTGCCTACGAATCACCCGAAGAGATGAGATCGCCGTCAAACTACGTCGGCTACGTCGAGCTACGTCGAATTACGTCGAATTAGGTCAAACTATTCAAGTTACGTCAAACTACATGCAACGTAATCCACGGTCGAGTTGCGTACCCTAAAACGCAAAAGTAAAGGGGATAAATTACACATGCATTACCTGAACAACCATCTAATATTTTACTTGAGTATTATCACGCAGGCTTCTCTTAGCATATGAAATGCAACATCTTAAGCTTAAAAAGTTTGGATGATTCATTCGTTGCTTTATCATAAATTACGACGTGATTTTACTAACAGACCGTAAATGTATAATATATATATCTATTAATACTTCAACAAAATATGCAATACCTTCCGAACATAAGTACAGATACTATCTATATCATATAATTCTCAGGTCTTATCACAAATAGATATAGTTGTTGAGAAATGTATAACTAATTCATCGCCTTTCCTATGTGGGTGCACAGCTCGACCGTGTGGCCAGCTTGATTGCGGATTACGTTGGTAACTGCAACATAACCAACGTAATTCACAGCTGGTCGGAACACCCACCCCCATGATAAAATTTTAGAACATGATAGATCAATCAAAACGCGTCAATTCTGCTATATCTATCGTTTATCACAATAATTCATCCCAGACACCAGAGTTAATGCGATATTTCCTAACATGATATGTCAATCCCAGAGGGTTTGACAAAAGGTTATAGAATATTCGTGTTAGAAACGTCACAATAAGCAGGTCTATTAGGCCAAGTAGTATTTTTCCAGAATGTACACAGATAAACATCTACCTCGCTGTCTGCGGGTATTTTTTGATAATATATGTAAATAATGGCTTACTCACAATATTAGTTATGCTACACTACCACTGGTACTATGGAAGACTACTCTACCGAAAATCAAGCAATACTATGTTCTCGTTGTTGAGATATAGCGACCTAAAAAATCGCATTTACTATGGCGTTTAGCGTCTACGACGCGACCATGTGTACGTTTCGGCCATGGATTATGTTAGTGCATCTGTTACGACCTGTGTTACGGCTGGTTGTCGGGAGTTGTCATGGTCAGTACTGTATTGCAATATGGTGTTACGGAAAG